CTCTTCACAAGTGTGAATACGGTTGTGAATCACGATCTTTCACAATCTTCACACACCCATGAAGGAGTGACCAAGGTTTCAGGGTGTGAATAACATTTTCACACTTCTTCACAAGTGTGAATACGGTGTGAATCACATCTTTCACACTTTCATCACATGTGTGAAAGTTTCCTGAATATACTGAATATTGCAGTGTCAAATATTCACACTGCTTCACAAGCGTTAATGGATTGTGAATCAAGTCTTTCACAATTTCATCACGCCCATGAAGGTGTGACCGAGGTTTCAAACAATTTCACACCTCTTCACAAGTGTGAATAGGGGGGAATTACATTTTTTCATCAATACAACTCACATGACAAAGATAAAATTAATACGACATTCAGTGTTCCTTCTCTGCCTCCTGATCAACTATGTTGTTGTCATCCTCATCTGGAATGGGGTCCTTGTTACTCTCCTTGGGATCTGCTTGTTTAACAACTACGTAATAGCCATCATTTATGTCATCTACCCACATCTGATGTGTCCTGGCAGCCATCTTTTCAAAAGCAGTTGCCAGGAGTGCCTCTGTCATACGAGAGTTGGCATGTTGTATGACCTCCATACGTGTATTGCCCTTGAAGGTTCGACCTTTTAATGTTAAGTGGGAGGACGCAGTCTTTGGGTGGCAGTCTAAGTGGTTGAAGGGAGGCTTGAGATATTGTCCTAGAAAGTGAGACTGTGAGTGAAATGCAGCACTTGGTCAGTAATTGAAAGGAACAACTTACGGACAAGATCATTCAACTTGGCTGTGAGTTGAGATTTAAGCAAATCACTAGCCTGCGGTTTCTTAGTTCGGGTGGGTTTTGTTTTGAGATCAGATTGTGTGATGTGCCGGACAAAATGCTCAAGAAGCTTCCATTTAGTATTGGTCAAGCTGGTCCAGTCGTCCGAGGATGACGACTGCATTTCCCATTGACCTTTCTCGTTGCGCGTGTCGGGGTTCCACGAGGTTGCCATGAGGGTGTAGTGTACACCATAACAGATATGAACTGTTTGAAGCTAGGTTCATTTGAAAATGTTTGAATACACTTTTTTTAGTCGAGCAATACCTAACAAATGAGTGAGGGGTGTAAAAAGTTTACCTCATGTTCAATTCGTTCCACCTCTTCAATACCCTTGTTCTGTCTAGCAGTCGGGAGATGCGGACCAAATTTTGCTTGCCCTAGGTCACGTGCAACTTTATCCAGATCAACCAGGCGTTTGAAAATTGGAAGATATGTATCCTTTTCTTTGGCGTCGAGAGGTACTGTCCCAGGCTCGACAGGTGGCTGATCCCATCCAGAGGCTAGGTATCCAAGGAAGAAAAAAATACGGCCATTGAATATATCCTTCTCTTCCGGTTCTAAGTTGGTCCAAGTTGTCCCTAGGTATTGATTGCGCTCTTTGAAACCTTCTTGGGTATTCCTTGGTGGCACTTTCATACAGGGTATTAATGAGAAAGTTTCAAATTGAGGACCCGATGAGACTCGACTTACTGTTGGTGTTGGAACTTTCAATGCTATACTTCAAAAAGTTTTGATAGAAGTTTCGTTTGGTTCTTATACTGACTTCATGCCTGCCATTAGTAGTAATTAGGTGAGGTAAGCGTAAGGATATGTGAGGAGCCAAGAAAAGCAAAAAGTTGGTACATCTTCTCTGACTTACAGAAATTCATTTATTGTCTTTTCACTGCATTTAGCTGCTAATGCAAGCAATTTCTTGGCACGCCGGTACATGAATTGAAGATTTTTCAATTCTTTCTGAATATCAGAAGGGATGCGATTACGAGTTTTGCGTCCTGAGGCTGAGAGGAGTTCATTGATTGTGAAAATGTCCAAGTCGAGTTCGTTGTAGTTTTCAAGTGTGATTTTGTGATCAATTGGCGGATTTGGTAAGGGGAAACTAGTCTGAGTCTGTGTTTGTGGCCTTTTGGCACGTTGATCTTCAGCTGATTCTTCCTGATTGTCTTCATCTTGATCCTCCCATGGACTTTCCTCCTCTGATGAATCTTCAGATTTGTCTGACGAGGCTGACGAGGTGGAATTGGGGTTAGCCCTATCAGCTGGCTTTGGGTTGCGATTAGTTGATCTTTTGGTGTTTTGATTAGTGGATCGATTAGCACGGGAAGATGTAGCAGGTCCAGGTGTCTTGGTGTGGCGAGTGACTCGTGAGGGCATTTGCCGCTTTCGGGTTGGGGATCGTGCCATGGTATAATGAAAGAAGCGATGATACTTTCAAGTGGAATGTGGTGTGTCAAAGAGATGATAGATCTTTGATAGATAGATACTTGCTCGAGTGGTGTGATGTGGTATTGTATGTAGTGAGTAGGATTACATGTGATGTATGAGAGTATTACACGTCGGGAGGCAAGGTTACAGTGGTAGGTGAGTGAAATGTGTGAAAGTGCGGGAGTAATGGCCAAGTGGAGTGTGAAGGGGTGTGAGGGGTGTGAGGGGTGTTTGGTACATTTAGAGAAGGTGTGGGACTTAGAGCCTCGCGAGGTCACAAAAGATGCATCCTAGCATCTTAGGATGCATCTGCCCGCTTTCCTTCAGATCCGCTGCGAGGATACATGTACTAGTATCCTCGGGTCGGGTCCGAGTTTCACGTGCACAAGAGGTGAAAGAGGGGATGATGACAAAAGGTATGGTACCAGATAAGCAAAAAATTTATGAATGGAAGATGTATTGGTAAGCAATGATAATTCTTCAAGAGGTGTCTCTGGTCTTTCTCTCAGAACATTGGCACCAGTCAAATGCATTTTATATACCCTTACTGACATGACACGCTATGGCTTATCCTGCGGAAATACAGGCTCCAGGTCATTTATGATAGTTGAAACCGGGGTCTTCATGCAAATGATGATTCATTTGCACAAATCCAGTCAAAACACATCATTACTGGGTGACAATGTAGGCATGTACAAGTCAACACTCTGTATGCTCTCAAGTGACAAATGATGACACTTTCATGGAGGACAGTCCCATGGACAATTTGGCCCTTCAAAAGCTCAGGTGTCTCCACCAGTTGCTTGATGTGGAGTTGTGTGAGGTAATTGATACATGTGATCTTGACTTCTAAGGGATAAGTTCCATTTTTCTATGCTTCCTGAAGGGATGCCTTGAATTTCAGTTAGATTCTCCATGTATTCCTGGGAACCTGGCTTGCTTTGAGCTACTGAATCCATCCATGAATGAAACAAACAAGCAATACACCGCTTTGGAAAGTAATTCTTGCGTTTGAACCCACCAAGCCCAAGAAAAAGAGCTTCAGGACTATCAGCCTGGATGCCATACTCAAGATTCACCGAATCATGGTTGAAGAGGTGTGGAGAATATTTTGGATGGAAATATAACAACCTCCATTCAGAAAACTTCTTCTTGAGAAAGTTCCATGCATTCATTATCAATTTCTCAATTTGTGAGTCAGTAAAGTTTTCTTTGTTCAGAATCCTTATCATGCCAAGTACCACAACCGTAACTTTGTACTCTGCCATGCTGACAGCTTGCGCTATGATACCCATCTCTTGGACCACTTTAGGTGCTAGATTGTTAAAATGTGGATGTCCATTCATTGCCAGGTATATCTGATTTAGATCATTGATCAGGTCTTCAAAGAAAATATGAACAGTTTGACACATTTCTCTGCCAATGGGTGTATGAAACTGTGCAGCCTTTGAACTCAATAACAGGACATCTTGTGGTGGTTTGGCTGTATCTCCATATGCATACCAATACTGTCTTGAAAACTGTTCTGCTCCCCAGAATGTGTGGTTCCTGATACCCATCCTTCCATAAAGACCACCTTGAAAGGAATTTGAATCAGCTTCATATATATCCACAAGTCTTTGCATATGCTGAGATATTCCACCTCCAGGTATGCCAGGTGTTCCTCTCTTTTGTGACCAATCTAATGCAAGTATATAAACCAGTGAGAAAGATACTTTGTTGGGGTTATCAATTCCCTTCAAATACCTCAGGTGGAAATAAGGATCAGATGCATGTTGTGATCTAAATTTAGTATGATCCTTAGATGCAAGATCTTCAAGTTCTACATTCTTCCAGTTCTGAAAGAAATTTTCAACATAATCCCAGCCATCATTCAAAAGATATTCAAGATGGTCCTTCCTTCTGCCTTCAGCCTCACAGACCCTTATAAGACCAAGAAATACCATAACAACCCCATAGCTTGCATTCTTCACTGCCTGAGTTGCAGATTTGATTGCTTCAGGATTATATTGACATTTGAACTCCAAAGCCTTGTATATCTCAAGGAAAGACTCAAATATCTTGTAACAAAGTGTTGGGGACCAATTTGCATTGAGGATTCCAATCTTCTGAAACAGGAAAAGTTGATTATTTGTCCTGGGACTCCTGCTGACTTTCCAATGAGATTGTGAATGTATTCTTGGCCTTGGGACCTTGTTTATACCTCCTTGTAAATTGTGATGCCTGCTTGAAGGGACCTCCATATATATTGTCTTGAATATGTCTCCATCACTGTCCTCTACAATGTTTTGAATTTGTTTCTTCCTTTTTCTTGGTTTGGATTCATCTGCAGCTTCTATCTGTGTCAAGCCACTCTCTGCGTGTGCTGGTGTTGCTTCTCCTGGGACATCATCAAATTGTGAGTTTGGAATGGATGTGTGCATGTGTAGACTTCTGTTCAATCTTGGAACTTGGACACAATCAGATGAATCTGAGTGGACTTCTTCTGGAGGATGATAATCTGGAGGATAATCCACTTCCATCCAAGAGCTATATTCTGATGTACATTTTGGACTACCCCATATTTCACTTTCTGGATGAAGCCCTGTGCATAACTTGAGAGACAAAATCTTCAGAAACAGTACAAGAAGAGAGCTCCATGGCCCCCAGGATCCTAGGTTTCCTTGATTGTAAATTGTCATGAATATCATTGAATATAATGTTTTCTCATTTGTTGTCACTGGCACCAAGGGGAATAGAAATTGTTATATGGGCGTGCTATATGGGACTGAAACCTTATCACATGGAACTGCATGGTGTGATCATTGGTTGATACATGTTACAAATTGAAAATCACTATGATTGACATTAAATTTTGTGGTGTATGAGTATTTTGAATCCTTATCATCACAATAGAATCAGTACTACAGTCAACTCTGATATAACCAATACGTGTCAAAACCAATACTCTGGGAAAACCAATAGGTTTTGGGCCATTTTTTTTCTGATTTTAAGTGAAAATTGCTCTGACAAAACAGATACTCCATGGAAACCAATAGTTTTGGACCCATTTTTTGGGTATTGGTTATATCAGAGTCCACTGTAACTGACAGCTTTCATGTCTCACATCTCCACCTTCATGTGGCCAAGGCCTTTCCAGGATACATTATGAGCTCATATTGAACCTCTCTTTAATTGGAAGCAACTAACACCATGTGGTATCCTTGTAGCACGTTGACGTGCACACACAGAGAGTTTTGAAAATAAACAGAAAGCTGTTTGGTAGGCTTTAGACTGAGATCGGTGCCAAGCACCCTTTGTGAATGACAATTTGACAAAAGAATTTGTGGGATCCTTGGTCAGCAGTTGGGGTCAACTAGGTCCCAACGTCCCAGTTGACAAAGGGAAGACATGCCTATTGTGGAGACCTCTTTGATGGGTCTTTCAAGTATGTATTGAAAGTATTTGGTGTGTGCACGTCGAAGTGCTACACGGATACAGACACGGTGTAACAAGCTCCAGGGTTTATCTAGCACTAGTCCTACATCATCATGCACCTATCACTAAAACAGAGGTTTGAACTGACCTTTGACAAACATTGGCTTGACTCTTGCTTACCCAAGACCTGACCCAATGGGTTAGAAATACTCTCTTCCCTCATTCAGACTGTGAGTAGTACACATCTGCTGGGTGTAATGTTCCCTGAGATTATCATAGATAAGTGATAATGTGCTCTTCATGTGATACACTCAAGTGAAGACTACAGCTAGTTGACCTCTAACAAGGGGTTTGAGGAAAGGGAAAGGAAGGGCAAGGGCAGTAAAGAGCTGTTTAACACTAACCTTGTGACACTGCAAGGGGCAGGCTTTACACTTTGGTAAACCAAGATTCTGAGACTGCTTTAGACTTCTTGAGAAGTAGGAAGCTTTGCGGCTTTTAGGTTCATTTCTAGAAACAATTTCCCTGGGCTACTAGGAATCAGTACCTTGTGCAAGCCTGGTTTGTAGCACGGTCTAGCATGGTGCAGCATTGAAAACACCAATGTGAGCAGTGTAACTTGATTGGGGGCGCAAGGCAGGTAAACCTCACGTAAGTGGTGCAAGGATTCCACCAATTTTTGGTAGTTGAAAGCAAGGTGCTCTTGGCACTGTTTATGCAGCTGAGCAGGCCAAAACAAGGTTTTCAAAATTCCTCAATCAGTTGGAAGAAAGAGAGAGAGAAATTGGCTGCAAAAACCATAATGAAATATCACACAAAAGTTTTGATTCAATGAGTGTTGAGAAAATAAGGAGGAAAAATCAATTATAAAATGAAAAGAAAAGAAAAGAAAAGAATAAATTCCTGTATCAAAAATAAGGCAAATAAAATGGTAAAGAACCTAAAGAAAGTTAAAGAGAATTGTAAGCAGTAAGGGCCATCCAGAAATTTCAAACAAATGTAAACAAGAATAAGAGAGAAGAAAAAAATTGGTGCATGAATCAGTCTTGGCATGGAGAATTTCTTGTTTCCTTTTGGTTGAATATCTTGGTGTATTCAATCACTTTGCCAACTTCAGCAAAATCACCAGCCAGAGGAATATTTTCTAAAAACCATAACTGCCTTCTGACTGTAAATCTTGGGTGATGGTGATTGACAATACTTTCAAGATGAATGTTGATGATGAGGGAGAGCAGTAATGAAACTTCAAAGGATAAGGGAAATTTATCAAAGATGTTTATGAATGTTGTTTTGGGGTAGGAATGAGTGAACAAAACATTGGATGAAGTTATTAAAACTGAGTCAGGGAGTTTGTGTGTTGGAAAATTAGGTTCTCAGAAAAATATTGGCATTATTCTATCTTACAGTTTGTAATACTATTGGATCAAATAATGATTCAGAGAGAAAGGAAGGGAGTAATAAATTGAGATAATAGATAATAAAGATGAGAGACAAGAAGGCCAAACAAGGGAGATAGTAGTGATAATACAATGGAATTTAAATAGACATTACCATTTTCTTTGTCTTCCTGCTTTCCACAAATCTGTCAATCATGCCCATATGTTTTGCCCTCTTGTTGGGATCTTCAAGCTTGTGTTTGGAGGTCAAATGATTTTGTGCTCAATCGTAGATCACGAGCCAGCAGGGCTCCACATTCCATCCCATGCTTTGACATAACAGTGCACTGCACTTTTTTGCCGCAGAGACTAGGGTTGAAGTGAGTCCATACCCAGCTTTTCTTACTGTTGTTATTAGCTGTGCTGATTTGATTTGCATTTGTTTCTTGAGCATCAACGGCTTCCCCCGCTGCTGAATCACCAGTTAGATCAATTTGATCCATTCAAAATAAATAAAAAACAATAAGTAACTTTGATAAGGAAGTTTGTTTTTGGATGGCAAGGTGATCAAGTGGAGTTGAAAGTTAAAACTAACCCTTTAAGAAAGTTGTTCTGGAGCCCCTCAAGAGTCAATCCAGGCGCAAAAAACACCCAAATGATACTTATGCTTGAAATCACTGCTTGACCTGCTCTATTTCCTTCAAAAGTGATCCAAATACATCCATAGTGCACCTTCCTTGTGTTGTGAGCTGTTGCAAGCTTCAAATCCCTTGGCGTGTTTATTTTTGGATTTCTTTTGTTCTACTTCTTCTTTTTTGCTTTTTTTGGGGGGGTGCTCCCCACATGCCCACCCTCCTGCCGGGAAACACAGGGGCGGGCTGGGGGTGAGTCAATAGGGCTGGGGAGGCGCCGGGGCAAAGGCCTAGCGGTTGATGCAACAGTAGGCTTTTAAGATGAGGATTTCTTGTGATTTCTGAACCTCTGCTAAGACAGCTCTCCTTGCCACATAAAATTATACTCTCAAGTAATTCCAGCTTAGAGTGATTCCAGTCACAAAATGCAATCTTTGTCTGACAAGAGAATTGAAGGTTCATGGCCAAACCAAAGTCTCAAATGTCTTTCACTGCCAGCATTAAAGAGGTTCCCAGATGGGAATACGGGTCCTAGTGATCAGATTCCCATTCTGCTACTGTTACACAGTTCCATGAATATTTCCTGAGTAGCCGTTGTGATATATGTAGTCAATATTTTAAGATGTGCGTCTCAATCTGAACAAAGTTACAGCATGTATTAGACATGATTTTCTTATCTAGATGAGCAGATAACTGAGCGGACCTGTATGTAGCTGATAGCTAAGGATTTACTCAGATGTTTGCACATATGTAGTGTATGCTTTATGGCTCAGATGTGCAGTGCAAGATGATTTGATTCTCCATTCTTCTCTCAATGATATTCCCAGCCTAGGTCATGTTCCGACCAGGGAACCTATTTAATTCTGGCAGTGTTTCCAATAAATGCCGGTCAACTGGTTGCTGGCCAGGTCTGAAATGTACTCAAAATAGAGCTTGATTTTTTTGGTTTGCTGGAGAAAAAGCCGCTTGATAAGCACTTTGAATAATGTGAATAAGGTTTTGCCAATGTGGGTTGTCTTCAATTGAGACTCCTTTGATCTTTTCATCAACCTGGAGGTCTTTTGTATCATTGACTTTAATGGTTTTAGTGGAACCTGGTTCACCGTAGATTCTGGCGTAGACTTTCTCAAGGTCCACAAACCTATACTCAAGAAGATCTTGAGATTGGGCTGAAGGTCACTTTTCTGGCTTTGCCTTGCAGGCTTTGAATAAGTCAACAGATTGCTTGATGTTGTCTTTATACTTGAATTTGATGTGTTTGATTTCCTTTGCGATCAGGTCTTTGTCCAGGTCAGGTGATTCATCATCCCGATATTGGAACACAAGTTTCTTAGAAAATTTATTTGCAGAGTGACCCTTATTGGTGTGGTAAATTGGCGGATCATTGAACCTGTTAAAGATTGAGGAAGCAGATTAGGCTTACTGACAGGTGATTCCTTGAACCTGGTTCTTCTGTTCAAAGACAACTGATAAGGTTCTCTATAGAGGGGAGGGGATTCACAATTGCTGTTCAAAGGTCTGGGGCTAGCTTCTTGCAATGGAGATATTCAATGAGATCTAACTGGGCTTCTAGACTGTCTGTTATGTCTTTCTGGGGAGTAGCAAGAAAAACCTTATTGGCTAATAGAACCAAACCTTTGACACTGAGGGCTTCTTGAAGTCCGTCTTTGATCCGGGCTGTATTGACAAGTGTGCCTCCTAGGGCTTTTGACACAACAATCTCTCCCTTTCCCAAGCAGGGAGGAAGGGCCTGGGGCCACAGCATGTCTAGCTGCTGCGCTATCTCTGGCAATTCTGGAAAGCATTGTGTCAGAGACTGAGAATTGGAAATATTCTTCCCTAGGATGTTGGAATACACATTGTGACATGAGAAACACTGGTTTAGATTCCATGAGGGCTCTAGCTGTCAAAGGCCACATGTAGTTTTCCCCCACCATCTTATGGATAGGTCTGTCTGCTCTAGTATCCAATTCTATGGCAACGCAAGCAAACACTGAGAAGTTGTAGATGAAGTTTTGTAAAGACTTATTGTGAGGAGGAAGCTCTTTGGAAAAAAGGGCCTGTAGAACTTGCATGGACATGACATTACTGCCACTGGCTTTGTCATAGTTCAAGAGAATAGACTCAAGTCTTTCAAATCTTGTTGTAGCGTGGTTTACGGTATAGTGGGTAGTTTCTAAAAGCATGAAATGTTGGACCGGGGAAAAAATTACATATGTTCAAATTTCCCCATACATGCAGGATTGAGATCACATCATTTGAGTGGATCAGTTCCTTTCCAACCTTCAAATTTTATTGCAAAGTCAAGCCAATTGCTTCCAATCAACTTCCTCTGGTGACACATGTAAGTCTTTCATCTTGATTGCTTTGTTGTCTTATATATCTAATACTGACAGGATCAATACATACAACAATTTTGTTTTAGGCTATCTCAAACACCGTACAAGTGTTCCAATCTCCAGGAAGAAAGGATTTGGTTGAAACAAATAGGCAAACCGGTCCTCTCGTAACCATCCAAGGGTTTCATCCCAAGACCAACAAGATAATGTTCAATCTCTTGTAAGTCAACCTTTTGCTTGACCTCATTCATGAATTTTTCTTGATTTATCAATTGTTTGATGCATTCAATAGCTTTTAGGCAGGCCATGAAAGTCAAATGTGGTTCTAACGCTGTCACTAAGACATATACATCTTATCAAACCATTTCTGGCAACTATGGAACTGATGCTGACCTCAATGTAAGTTTTTGCCCTTTCTTCTTACATTTTCATCAAATATTGTTTTGTCTTATTGATTTTTGCTCTCACTGATACACCAGGTCACAATGCAACCATACGACTCTTTCCGAACCGCTGCTCATGGCTCTGTGACCAATGCTGACTTCAATTGATGACATTTTTTTGTTTTTCCTTATAAATTTTTCAAATATTGACTTATTGCTGTAATTCATGTCCTCACTGATGGAAAAAGTCGCAAAGCACCATAAATTGTATTGTTCAATTCTCTGTATTGAAAATTACATTCTATGATAAAACTATACTTTGTTGTAAAGAAGATGAAACATTTAAAGCCCTTGGAACGACTCGGAGATAACAATTTCTGATAGCTGCTGATGCAAGGAATCCAACCCTGTGCTTGGATTCCAATGTAGATCAAATTTGTGGCACTGATAAACTTTTTGATCCAAATACCCAATTTCACACTTTTAGACACTACCCACTATATTGATTTCTTGAGTAGATGAATTACTAACATTTTGCATAAATACCCAGCGGATACAAATTCAGTTCAAAAACAAGATGAACAAAACAAATTGAAAACATAGAAAGTTATAACACTTGAATTACTAGAGAGATTAATAAAGCAAAACTGTATAGTTCTTTTAAGTTTAGATCTAATAGGGGCTTTCAAGTTCAATTTTTTTGTGTGATTTTTATAATTTTGCACAAGTTGTTTGTAAAAACAATCTCTGTAAAACCAATGTACAGTCGTTTGCAAAAAGCTTGCAATTGAGGTGTTCCAAAAATCTAGAGGTGGTCAGTGCGCCACCTGTGACAGGTAACAAATCACATACAAAATCAAACAATATACAAGAATGAAGAACTTTAACTGATTGCTCACCTTCATTCTTCAGTGCCGTAGTGGTAGGCCAGCTGGCATGTGATCATCTGCAGCCGCTGTCCCTGTGTTTGAGTCGCAACTATATTTTTATTTCATCCTTTTTTTTTAGTCCAGAGTTCTTCCAAAACAGCAACAAACAAACACAGGCACAAACACAGGCAAAAGATCACGCACACTTATTGCTTCATTTATAACAACGTGCAAATGTGAAAATTTAAAAAAAAATGTTGACATTGAATAAATCCAGTGAGGCTTGAACTCAAAAACCAGTGGTTTGGGTAGCACACCGTACAGACATGCACTCCCAAACCGCGTCTAACCGACACTGCATGCAAGGTGGTGACGCCGCGGGTGCGGGGCTGCACTGACCCCAGATCGACCCCCCCCTTGGGTTTTGTGTGGCGTCACCGCGACCCCGCATCCCGGGGTCAGCGGATGCGGGGTCAGCACTTTGCATGTAGTGCGACTGCACCACGAGACTTCCCCAGTGGATGTGCTTTTCCCCATACAATCACATTTTTGTATGTATTTTTTGGCCTGTCACAGGTCACGCACGGACCACCTCTAGATTTTCAGAACACCTTGATTACAAGCTTTTTGCAAACAACTGTATTTTTATTCCAGAACACCTAAAAAGGTGTCCTGCTTTAAAAAGTTTAAGCATATTTTACAACAACAACAGGCAAGTTCTTGTAGCGTAAAAATACACAAAAAAGGCTAACTTGAAACCCCATTTAATGTTTAGAGAAAAGTTTTGAGGTAACTTTTTAGCCAAAAATATTCAATGGAGATAACAACTTTTACAAAAGGAGAAAACAAATGGAAGGGAATATGTCTTGCTCCAGAGTCTTGTAACATTCCTTGGGGTTGGAGACAAATTGCCATTTTGTTGCACCTCCTTCTTGAGTTGTTTTTGTGACTTTTATCCAAACCTACATGGTCTTCACCTTTCACAGATTCCACTATGTTAATTCCTTTGTACCAACTTTGAAGAATGGAATTATCCATAAGGATAAATTAATTTGAATCTTGAAAAGAAGAGAAACCAACAATCTATTTCCAAATCATTACATTAATAACAAACTCTATGACCTTTGAGATTCATTTTAAACTCTACATTCACCACAAATTGTCCAAGTTCAAAAACCAAACCAAACCCAATCAAAGAAACCTCCCCAAGAAACCCTCAAGACAAAACACCCACACAATCTTCACTAAGCTGGTGTTGAAGCATCCGATTCCAAAGTTTTTATATACCTATTCACAAGAGTGACAGCAGCCACTTCATCAGGTTCATTAACTCTTTCAATCCAACCCCATTGAGCATCCCAATCCTGATGAGTAAGTTGAATCAAAAGTTGTTGAAATTCATCATAACCCCACATACCTCCACCTAATGATAAAACTAATTGAGAAGGCAAAAGTTGATGAATTTGACAAATCTTCTTTAAAAGTTTAGATAATTCTTGACCAGTTTCTTGCATGATCCTTAATGCAAACTCATCGCCTTTTTGATTTTCTTGGTGGTCAAGATTCTTTGGGTAAGCAGCTTGCATGACGATTCTAGAAACTTCTGAGATTCTTATCTTTCGATCATGTTCTGTTTCTCCCTTTGATTTATCAAGTTTATAAACCGAACCTAAAAGATCGTTTAAGTTTTCTACACCAAAATGGTTTAAGATCATTGGAATCAAAGTCGATTTAGAAATCATTGAGTTGAATGAAAGATTATCTTTTGAATTTAAACTATCTAAGTCTTCTAGGATCGATTTGATCGTTCGTTTTCCTACATCATAAGCCGATCCTTCGTCCCCAATTAAATACCCATATCCTCCTAACCTTCCTGCTACTTGTAAAACAGATTTCGTAGGATCCGATTCAGCTTCTAAAATCTTGGGTATATAAGCTGTTACAATACTCCCTGTACCTGCAATCAAAACGATTCCGCCTTGACATACTTTAGATGGATTTGAATGATGAATGGATTCTAAGTAATGAAATTCAATAGGTCCAGTAAGTAAATCACAATCATTAGATACTTCTAAAACGTTTGAATCAGATGTATCAATCAAAAATAAACTCGATAAAGCATTGTACATAATCTTGATATCTAATGGACTATCCACTCCACTTAATCCAGCCCATATTTTGGTAAACGGACAACTTGTTTTGAATCTATTAAGATAAGTTGAGTAAGCGATTGGAAGTGATGATAAAGCTTTTTGGGTGGCTTGATGGATTGATTGGATGGCCGAATCGATTCCTAGATCTGAATAATTTGATGAACGATGGATGGCAGTTGAAAGGATTTGTGGTTTAAATTGATTTGATGTTGATTTTGAGTAAGTTGATATGGTGACTTTTGTTTTGGTACCACCACCTTTTTATTGGGTTTTTGAAATGAAAGAAAAAGACGATTAGATTTGGTAGTAGTAATTCGAATGGTTAGTTTTAGGAAATAGAGTCTTACTTACCATCTATTGAAAGGAAAAGTGGATTGGATTCAGTCATGATATTTTGTAGAAAGTGTTGGTATGTATGGACTCATCAAAATACAGTATCAGAACTTACAACTGTTCTATATCAAAACTGTTTTAAAGCTCAACACTTTTTCATTTCCACACTTGTACACTTTAAATTCTACCACCACATTCAACTTATTATCAAGAGAATGGTCAAAATGTAAGTAAACATTCAAACTAATCACTCTCTCCATCTTACCATTCCTAATCCAAAAATCTAATCCAACTTTTAAACCCTCACTTTCGATCAGTCTAATAGTCAAACCATCACCCAATTCAATCAAACCATTCTTTTCAAAACTAACCAACATAAACAAAAAGAACGGACCATTTGATTTAATCATATGTATTTCTGATTTATTTAAAAATCATAAACAGGATGAAGATGATCAGATAGATGATTTAATTCAAAATAAAATATCGATTCCTACTAGAACTTTTTTTATGATCGGTCAATACGTTTTACCTAAGAAAATTCAAGCAATACTTGATTCTAATCAACATGGTGAGATTTGTAAGAATCTTGAATATTTAGGTAAGTGAAAAAAAAAATATCAATTAGATTCTTGAAAAATTTGTGTGAAGTTGATTGGATTTCGATTTCGATTTGATGGTTTAGATCCATTTAGTATTACTACATTAAAAACTTTAGGTGATTTAAGAATTGCTACTTTTAGTGGAGTGTTTGATCATAAATATTTTAATACACCAAATGAACCTATCGAATCATCAATGAGCGAAGTAAGTTAAATCCTACACTCTTCAACGAAACCACAAAAAAGCTAATCTGATGATGAATGTTTCCAGACAGATACCATACCATACCACATCAAATCCGTCAACCTATCCACATTCCTAACCAAACTGAAATCCCAAAGCCAACCCATCGATTTACTCTTAACTCATTCATTACCTCATTCATTAACATCACATTCTAAAAGATTACCAAAAGATCTTAATCCATCCAATTGGGGTTGTTCACCTATTACAGATCTTTTGAAACAGTCTAAACCTAGGTATCATTTCTCGGGTGGAAGTCTTGGTGAGTTTTGGGAAAGAGAACCTTGGGTTTGGGATTCGGATTCGGGTTCGGATTCGGTTCAGGTAACCCGGTTTGTAAATTTAGGAGAATTTGGAAACAAAGAAAAAGAAAGAGTAAGTGATTTATACAAAGGATAGGTCATGATGAATTTTCTTAGTTTTAAAGATCAATTGACACGATTTGATTTGATTTGATTGGGTAGTGGTTTTATGCATTTAATTTGACTCCAAGTCATGAAACTGTAATCACCAAACCAACAGATTCGACTCTTTCTCCTTATACACCATTAAGTCAACCTCTTCATCAAAAACGTCATATAGAAGATGATGAATTCGATTCTGGACCCAACTTTAGGTTTTCAGAAACCGATCTTACAAAACGTGCCAAAACAAGTCAGATGATTTTTCTTGGCTCTTCATCACTTCTCTTTTAACCCACAAAACTTCTGATATGCTTTTTATTGTATTTTTTTTGGTATAAGGTCTTCCACCTCAAAATTATGTTTGTAAAATATGTGAAAAACCGGGACATTGGATTCAAGAATGTCCATCCAAACTTGATCCATCTAAAAGTAAATCCAAAGAAATTCCGATTTTAGATTCTTTCAATTCGAGAAAACGAACCAAAAAAAATGAAATTGAATGGGTTTGGTTTCTTTACTTTTGATTTAGATCTACAAGATGGTTATGTTTGTAGGATATGTAATGTACCGGGTCATCGAATTCAACAATGTCCAATGAAAGAAACTCGAGTACATCAATCATCAAATCAAAGGTTTAATGAACCCAAAGAAATCGGACCAGTTGGTACATTTCTTTTTGGAAAAAGAAGAAGAAGAAAACCCATCAAACTGATGATGTAAAAGAATTTTCCGTTGACTGATCACCCATGTTATTGTTATTGTTTTTGTTTTGGTTGGGTTTGATGATTTACCTAGTCAACTTGTTGGTTTTGTTTATCTAATCCACAAGTCACTAAACATTTAATTGTTTCGATCGGTTCAGAAACATATGTTTCTTTACCTAAAGGACAATTACCTGATACTAAATCAGGTTGTCCAGTTCCAGGTGGAGGTCATGTTTTAAGTAAGTCAAATGAAAAAGTGATCTTTTTGTTTCAATATCATCAAATCGGTTTCTAATTCGATAAGTATGTATTTGATTTTTTTCGGGGGGGTTCTTGGTTACTTTTTATTTTAGTCATACCTGTAAGTTCCTCAAAACCCTTTCTTCCATAGAAAAATAAACCGGTAAAACTAAATCAGGTTTTGTATATATACTAGATTGCACATTATCCAAGCCTATTAGGTTTACCAAAAGAACTATCGATTCCAATCCAACAAGAAATCCAAACCTATCAAAACTCCTTATGCGCATTATATTCTAAATATAATGCAAGTATGGTCAGTTTTGAAGTCGTTAAACTTACCGGTACAGGTGCAAGACAAGGTCATGGTCATCTTCAAGTTTGTCCGATCCCGAATGAATTGGTTGAGAAGATTGAATCAAGTTTTATTGATGAAGCTAGTAAAGTTGGGATCGAGTTTGAAGATCAAAAAGAAGTACAAGAAGAAGGAGCCATGGATGGAATGAGTTATTTTAGGGTCGGATTACCTACTGGGAAAAAGATTATCAGTTTTATTAAACCTAATCAAAGGTTGAATATGCAATTCGGAAGGTAAGTCTCTCTCTCTTCTTTTTCCTTCTGTTTTTTGTGTGTGTGTTTTTTTTTTTACTTTAATTTATGTATGATCTTTGAACATTATCTTTTTCGTTTCTTAGGATCGTTTTGGCCAAAGTTTTAGATCAGATGGATAGATCAGATTGGAAAAATTGTGTTTTGAATGAAGAAGATGAACGATTAGAGTGTGATGAATTGAAAAAAGTGTTTAAAAGTTTTGAACCTAAATTTGATTAATTAATGTGATTTCATAACAACAAAAGAGTTTAAAGTGGTTTTTCTTCATGAATGAAGATTTGTATGTATGTGTATGTATTTAGACTTTCCCAAAAAAATATAGATCATGGATAGTTTTTTTTTGAATGTGAAAAGAATTTGGATGGGTTTAGTTGGAAGTTTTTTTCTTGGTTTTTTTTGCAAGGGTTTATGTGATCTTTATCTCAGTGTGAGTGGGGATTTTAAGTGTGATATCATAGCTGAGATTATTATGTGTGAACTTGACATACATTTTGAATAACCAAAGCTTTCAACTGATCAGCTGCATACTGTGACTATATAATGTGCTGTGAGTCTTGTTCTGTCTTGTTTGACTGATTTGATAGATCTTTGCATTTTCCATAGCATGGGTTGAATTTAATAAGAAGTCAAAGAAAAGATGAAGATGGGAAAGAACTATCATTTGACTTTCGCCTCTGAGATGAGACTGATGGAGGAAGTACAAAGAATGTGGTTTCAAGAGAAAAGTAAGGATTATCATATGTTGAAGTCCAGTTTGGCTTGATGTCTGGGTCTCTGCAGAACTCTGATGTTGTGAATGTGATTTACAAGTTAGGTCTCTCTTAATCTAAGGTTTATGTCCATATCTCCTCACCTAGCAGCTCAGCCGCAGCCTCAGCCCGATCTCGGCTGCTTGCTCCTTCTTGTACATATTGATATCAACATATCTTTTCTCAAACCCGCATACAACCAATAATTTGATCAATCAAACGAATCATGAACCCATCAAGTTCCCTAAGAAACACTTTTTCAAAATTAAATCTTCAAGAAGAAACCACAGAACCTGAGATTTTAACACCTCGAGAAATGTTAAGAGAATTTAAAGAAATCAATATCTGCGGTAAGTTTTTTTTAAAAATCAAAGGGTAAATGAAGTTTAGGTAAGATGAGATCCAAACTGATTTAATTCTTAGCACCTATGGTTAGATATTCAAAATTACCATTTCGTCAACTCGTATCTGAATATGAGACTCATATCACTTTTACACCTATGATTTTGTAAGTATACAAACCAAACCAAGGCTCTGCCTAACTTTCCAAATTTGAAATATATATATATTTGACTCATGGAAGGATTTTTTGATTTGTTCTACAGAGCCAAAGAATTTAGTCTTTCACAAAAAGCTCGTGATTCAGATTTCAGTACTAATCCATTTGAAAGAGGAACGTTTTCGATGATCGATTCAAGTAATCAATCTACTAGATTAGTTAAAGGTAGTTTAGTGGCTCAATTAGGTGGAAATGAAAGTTTTTATATGGCTCATGCTGCTGAATTACTTCAACCGTGAGTTGTAGAAAATCCAATTGAAGAGAATAGAATGAAATTTGATGCTTTAAAGTTTATTTTTCTTCTTCTTAGGTATGTTGATGGAATTGATATTAATTGTGGTTGTCCTCAGTCTTGGGCTTATAAAGAAGGTATAGGATCAGCATTACTTAGAAAGGTGATTGTTTTTCTATGAAATCTAATTAAAACTTTCCAAAATCGTGAAGTAAGATTGATCTCTTTATGTTTGGCTCCCATTAGCCTGATCTTGTACGTGATCTTGTACGTGGAATCAAGACAAAGTGTGGAGAAACGTTTCCAGTGTCGATCAAGATTCGAGTGGATGATGATCTTCAGTAAGTGATCTGTTTGATATATTTAATCAATTCGGTCACCGATCTATCTCTTTATTATGGTCTATCATGAAGGCATACTTCTCGTCTGATCAAAACAGCACTAGCTGCTAATGTTTCCTTTATCACTGTTCATGGTTAGTTCCAAACAAGCAAAACGATTCTTGAAAGCCCAATCTTCATCTACTAACTCGAATTTGATTTTCGATTTGCACACAAAGGTCGCACTCGACATCAAGCTAGCTCAGAGCCAGTCTCATATGATTCAATTAAATTTGCTGCAGAAGAAGCTACCACCGGATCAGATGGAGGAGTCCCCACAGCAGCCAATGGGAATGTTTTCACTTTGGCTGATGCACAAAAGACAAGAGAATTATGTGGAGTCAAAGGAGTGATGAGTGCTAGAGGATTACAAGAAAACCCTGCATTATTTGCTGGGTATGAAAGGATCCCACTCTCTGGAGTTCAAGTGAGATTGATTTTCTGTTTTTCTTACAAAAGAGATAAACCTCCTTAGAATATCGAAAAGTCTTGTGTGCGTGAAAGATTGACTGAATCGTTGATATTCTTTTTCCGGTTGGATTGTGTATCTATAAAGAGATTTATTACGATTTCAGCTCAAACTGGATTTATATTTCCATTGTATCATCGTCATTTAGCTGATATGCTAGGTAATTGGTTTACAAGTAAAGAAGAACGTAAATATTTTAATTTACTTTCTAGTCCAGCAAGTGTACTTGAGTTCTTAGAGGTATGTTCAAAAGTTTTTCTTGGTCTTCTTTTTTTTCTGTTCACTTCAGAACAATTAAGATCTTTTTGAATTTGATTGTAGGATACGTATGATATCACACCTGGACCTTTTCCTATCATCAATGGTGTACTTTAGTCTTTTCTCTTGAGTTTCAGGGTTCAGGGAATGTATCATGGTTCAGAATTGGATATTGAATATGTAGTCATTCCAGGCTGAATGGCATAAAACTATGTGTTCAAAAGAAAGACTTTATCAACCGTAAAGCTCCATTCACTGGGAAATACGCTAAGTAGCTACAATTGGATAGCAGATCCACTAGATCATGTTGTTCAAGTACTTGTTGAGTGTATTGGGGTGCAGCGGGTTATCAGCTCGCTAACTGATTGTATCACGCCATTTCGGGACATCACGATTGTAACAGTGCCAATAAAAGCCGTTTCCATAAATCTTATGGAGCGGTTCACTCACACAACCTTTTTGAATTTTTGGACTTCTAGCTTGCACCGATGTCGGCGTGAAAGATGTTCATGAGTCAGGATGTGAAAATCAAAGATAAGCACAGCACAGAAATATTGTACTCCCGCGGCAGGCTATTTTTGCCATAGTGATTATCTACTCACTACGTCATGTATGACGGGGATTATCGGGCCCGGGAGTCGTTCTGAGAGTCAAAAGAAAGTGACTCTCCTCGGGGAACCCGAGGAAAAATCAAGCTGTAAAAAGCGGATAAATACACGCTTGGGAGAGGTTGTGCTCAGCGGTTTCTGCCGGAAATAGCCGGGGACTCGGGGATCCCCGTAATTTCCCGGGGATTTGGTAGTTCGTCGGGGGTCAGGGTACGGGAGCCGGGCTTGACCTATGAGCCAGAAAAAGCTCGGGGAATACCGGGGTCGGTCCTCGTTCTGACTTTTGAAAAAAAGTCGGTGGGCCGGGCAGCCCAGTCCCCGGCATTCGGGGGTTGGGGCTCATCCTGATTCATGAGTCAGGATGTGAAAATCAAAGATAAGCACAGCACAGAAATATTGTACTCCCGCGGCAGGCTATTTTTGCCATAGTGATTATCTACTCACTACGTCATGTATGACTACAACTAAAAATATATTCAACAGCGACAAAGCTTAAAAGTTAAGGGTCCTCTTGCAGAAGATCTTTCTTCGAGGGTGCGGCATTCGCTTTTGCAAGAGGAGCTTGAGTATGTGAGGTTTACTTAGTAAGCTTGAATAACCACACTAGAAAAATCCAGCGGCGGAATCAATCCGGTGGAAGCTATGTACAAAAGACATTGGAATCCTTCCGCTGACGTCAAGGACTTATAAAGTGTGGTCCCTCCCCTTGAAGCCGGACTTCAGGACCCCAGAAAGCTCCTGGAGAACAAACCGTCCTCGATCCATTCCGGCCCCGGCCCTCACACTTTCACTATTTGCCCCGAGGAGAGGTGGGTTAACATGGATTTCTCGGTGGTAGGAGAAGCGCCTTGATCAGGGCTCTTGATTACATATACTTTCAGTTTTGTACCACGTGTAATCACCGAGATATCCGTATGTAAGTACCCGACCCGAGCCGGTATGGATTTTCGTTGGTCTGGGGGGGCAAAAGTTAGAGCATCCGCACTCGTTTGCGGTTGTTAATTTGGTCACGTGCGGTAACAAACACAACATTAAGTAAAAAGTTACTTAACTCAACCAAATTTCGCACTCGTTTGCATTAGCAGCGCTGTAACTTTTATAACTTTACAGATAGTGCATGTACTCCGCACCGGTCGTGCAGTAAGGTAAAGTTTTAATTTTTTGAGTACACATCACCTGCTTTCATGGCCAGTTTTCATGTGATAGAGGCACTGTTCTCTTCTTTGCACTAAGATACTAATACTCCATCTACACATGAAGACCCGATATCATCCTGTTCATCTACTCGATCGATAGATCTTAATTTAAAATTACAAATTTAACATGAGTTTGTTCAGATCTTAATACATGAATTCCAATTAAAAAACAAAGGCTTTACTACATCGAGAAAGCTTTTAATGAGTCTGAATACACATAATGATCTTGTAAAAGATTTAAAGAATTTAAAACTAGGAAATAAAAATCCAAACTTCAATTTTTAATTTGTATCACTTGATCCTAAAAGTCCTCCAATGATTGGTCTTTTAATGTTGATTTTCTTAAATATTGACCTCTACATAGCTATATGAATCTAGACATCTTTCATTTTCATCTGAATGGTTTGGAGTCGAGTTCAAGATGGTTGATTGACTTATTTCAATTGAAGACATCGATCGGTGTCGAACGTTCTCGAGTTGATTCATGCAACTGTAAGGCTTGGAATTCATTGTGTGTGAGTGGTGAAAAGGAGATATTGGTTGTTGACTTTGGTGTTGGAGGTCTGGTTGAGTTTTGTTTTTGGAGTCGAGTTGCCGGGAACAAGTCGTGATGTGTGATACCGCATGCGTTAGCCAATTGGTAAATTTACCGATTTGCTAACGCAAAATGACCGAAAATTAACTACCGCGGGGCTAATTTTTCACCGGTGTGGAAAAGACCCCGCGTTTGCGGTAAATTTAACCTTACCGCACCCGACTTACCGCACGAGTGCGGATGCTCTTACAAATCACACATTTCCCAAGCCACCAGTCATGTTCAGGGTCAGACATGTGTACCATCTGATAGCCCTCGTTGAGGCGCATCTTTTGCACCTGTCACATCTCTGGTACCATGTGACATGACTTCACAAAACACCGGTATCCGAAAACCCCCTCAGGACGGTTTGTTCTCCAGGAGCTTTCCAGGGTCCTCGGACTTCACCGAACCTGTCCACTCTCATGATCGACCTCCTTTTTGGAATTGAAACTTTGGACGACGTCGGTAAGAGCTTGGCTTCGCCTCCTTTGCCTTGAACTTTGAAGCTAAGAACACGATGGACTGGGGTCCCTTCCTTGAGCTTGCGCGGCGCAACACTGCCCAGGAGCTCTCATTGCAATAAAAAGCCAGAACAAGCCTATGAATCACAGTTCCAAATGGTGCGGGTGCAGTTTTCGAGGTTAAAACTTCGTGAGTGTCACTTTGCCATGACTTGGCAGGCGGCTCTCTGGAAAGCAGACGACAAGACCGGGCAAAGGAAGAGCTTTTCGAACACGGATGGAAATCGGAATTCAACCAAGCCTAACCAAGCCCTTTCTCGCGAGTCGCGATTGTTTCCGATCCGGAGAAGACAAAGGCACGGCGTTTCTTGTCACACAAATGATCGCGTGTTTTACATAGTGATTTGGTTCGGCTTTAATCTTGTACGGCTGTAATACACACATTCTTCTCTCTTCTCTCTAGACTGTGCCCAAGATAAATCACAAGCACCTGTTTGAAATTGCGGTGCTCGCATATGATCCATGGTTTCATTCATATATGTAGATGCCGATGTTTTCGCAGCGGGCAAAACGCGAGAGGAGATAAAGTGTTTTAAAGGGTTTGAGGTATGTAACTCAAGCTAACTCAAGACTGTGAGACCACCTGAGACAAGTGTACAGATATAAAGGATCAGAGAAATATGCGAGGTGGTCAACAAAAGTGGTGGGTGGACAAAGTTGGAATCTACAACGCCATCATATTGATACAATGTAGATTAAATTGCGCTTTACAAACAATTTAGACGTCATTTGGTCTCAAGCCTGGGGTGACTGCGGTTCATCTCCACTTTCTTCAAACCTCTGAATCGATCACCCACCTCTGCTCTCCCAAGCGCTTTTTTATTTTGTACACACATACAATCTCAATACAACCCATGAGGCACTAATTCCGCCGCGTTATGATGGCGGCAGAACGGAACTGAATTTGTAATCATCACACTTAGGTAACCCATGACGTGACTCGTTCATGAAGCAAAGAATCAACACCTGACAAGAGAAGAGAGATTTTTTGGCGGTGCAGGGTTTAAATAATTATCTCGGTGATAAGATTTGGATAAAAAGACTTTTCTCATATCACGATCACTCCACTCCATCTTCTACTACTCCTATCTTTTGCCCATCTTCGATTTTCTACTTTTGAATGATTTTATCAAATCATAATCATTGTACCTCATCATCCAAAGCTATCATGACACCTAGCGAAGGTAAGTGGCAGCGCTTTTCACTTCGACTATTGTTTCTGTTTTGGTACAGACTCTGGTGCAAGGTGCATCTCGAACTGACATGAGGATGTGGATTGATCGGTATTCTAGCTACCTCAAGTCCCCCACCACTCTCCAAACGATCACGGTGTTATAGTGACGAGGAGGATGAGGACGAGCTTGAAGAGCACAATCACGCCGACAGCAGGCGTACGAGTCGATTTACCTTGCCATCTGACGTCGACGGAAGTAGTTGTCGAACGTTGTTTGTACCACACTGTGAGTATTGTTTCCTTTCCGTTGGCTCGTCTCGTCTTTTGAAATCATTTAGCCTATAACTATGAGCAATCATTTATTGTTGTGCTCTCATGAGCGCCCTAATTATATACATCATAATTGTCAATCTTGTGGTTCTCCGCTTAGTATTTTTGCGCGAAAGCTACCTCGTCCATGAGCTGTTTCGTGTTAACACTAGAGGCTTTAGTTATAGATATGGGATTTTGACAAATGATCTCTCTATCTCTTCATTTTGACAGGGTCCGTTGAAGATGGAGGCTGGGGTAGATCAAAAGTGGCGGAAGATGACATAGCACTATTAGAAGCGATTGAAGAACATGCAGCGACCTATTCGGCACCGGCTCCGGCTCCTTACGTGTTTCCAGGTCTCACATCTCCGCATTCCAGCAAGTTCAGCAGCTTACCGCAACCAAGTCCATCGTCCCTAGCTCTGGCAGATCTCAATATGACAATGCAAAGTAACAACAATGCTTTGCCATCAAATCTGCACGGTAAAGCATTCAAGTGTCCCATTTGTCCCAAAAGCTTTACTCGAAACTATGACTTGTACGTATTTTCCTCAATCTTATTGTCGCCTTTCACTCCGGACAAGGTTTCAAATGTTTACTCAAGATCCTTTGTCCTTTCCCTGCAATGCCCACGACTTTGTTTAGAACTCGTCATAGATCTTCTCACCAAGACGAAAGACAGCATGTTTGTCAATGTTGTGGTAGATCATTCAATCGACGAGATGCGTTATCACGTCATAATATGTTACGAGGATGTGCTAGGAATGGTCGAATAGGAGCAAGACAGCCTCGAAAGGCCGAGAATTGAAAAACTCGACCATTCACATCGGCTTTCATCCTTCAACACTCTGAAACATTGCTTGTACAAGATGGAAAAACGACATTTTGAACATGCATCATGATAGAAGAAGTTTTTGAAGAAATTTCTTGATCATTTCATTGGACTTTTTCTTTAACTTTATCTTGTTCAAATTCTCATTATCGTTTCAACCAAGCTGGTCTACTTTAATTTGATTCTTAGTTTGCATCATCGTTTATTTATTTAATTTTTTTCCCCTTTCATATTCCAATAATGTATTTTTTCCAACCAATTAATTTCGGTTTCGTTTACAATTTTTTAACTATAGCTTATTGTTTTTTTCTACTTACATCTTATTCATTATAACAATCAATAATTGGAAATGATTTCTATATAACAACTTCGCTTTCTACTGCTTTATATATTCATTGAAATCTTTTCTAGGGTTTTTAATTTCAGATTAGAAAACATTTGTTTTCCTTCTATGCATGTGTCGTTTTTCCAATCATGAAGATTCAGATATGACTTCAGAAATTGAAAGATTTGAAACGAGTCAGTTGCTTTCAACATTCTTGTTTTTTTATAGGTCGGAAATTGCAATCATCCTGAAATAGATCAAGTTCCCAAGCTCTATCACCATCAACTGAAAAGAAAAATTGGCAAGAAGTCTTTACAGCGAGCATTCCTGATCAGATTCATGGAAGTCGGACGTAAGGCTCAACACAAGCTCCACGAACCGCGGGACCCTCAGGGGCTTGCGACCGGTATGACAATGCTGGTCCGATAGTAGAATTTTGTCCATTTTTGTCCTGCTGCAACAACAAATTGCCCAATTTGTCTCAGAGGAGGAGACTTGAAGTTAGGTAAAGTACTCCCTATGGTGATATTGTCTTCTGTCAAAGGGCGCAAATGGATATCACCTTGTTCCAACCTTGGGCGCAACTTTGGCACTCCAAATCACACTGTAGTTTGGCTTTTCTAAGCTGCTCTCGGATGTTTCGAAGAAAATGTATTTTGGTGACTGATACGGAATATGTACCAATAGGAGGTACATCATTCTGGATCAAACAAATAGGTCCAGGTGTGTTTGTGCGGTTACGTTCTGGAAATGTGAAGTTCTTACTCACAAAACCTTAGTATGTAAAATACTAAAACAGGACAAGAGTTGTTGGGCGAAACCCAAGGCAGATTGCCGAGGGTGAATAAATTTCTGATAACAAACATAAAGCGCACCCTCTCCGACCCGCCTATCAACCGTATAGACAGAGTGGTGAAGTAGGAGAGGGTGGAAATAATAATAAGTGAAAGCAAGAAACATTGTCAGTATCAATGTCAAAAAGGGAACACAAGACAGGCATAAAAGCCATTGACCAAATCACACAGGCATAAAAGCCATTAACCTGTGAAAAACAAAGACTAGGCATGGAAGCCATTGACTTGTCTATAACACCAATCAAAACTCACTTTTAAGAAAATGAAACTTTCGAACCGACATGAGCAACACTCCCAATCACATGATTCTGATTTTTGGGTAAAAGTAAAGCCACATGTCCACGGACATATATTAAGAAAGCTTCCGACAACCAGCGACCAGCATCTTTGATGTAATCCATAGTGGCACCTGCTTGAGCTAAAGCCGTAGCTCCACCGGATCTTAACAAGTGTCCTGAAAAAGTTTTGTTGAAATGGGAATGGAATCGAGTTAAAAACCAAGATTGAGTTGGAGGGGAACCGTCGGACGTGACAAAAAGCTCAGTTGATGTGATAAAATCTGAATCTCTTTCGCGTAGGTACGATTTCAAATGTCGAACTGGACAAGCTGAAGAACTGAAAAATTGCTGGATAACCACAGGAGCGCCGAGATAATTCCTGTCGCCTTTTGAATATGGTAATTGATATTGAAAAATTTTTTACACAGAGATAATTTGAGAGACGATTGAAGGATAATTTTCCTTTCATCAAAGTATCTTTTAGAGTCAGGGATTGTCAGCTTGCCTAATCTGTGAAGACCTGCAAAACCAACACATAACATTGCTAAGAAAAGCTTATCATCATAATTCGAAGACAACTTAGAAACCACCGATTCTAGTTGATCCACTGAAAGGGGATTCTTTCTGACAACCGGTTTTGAGTAATTTTGAATGCATGACTTCATTGTATCCTTCACTTCTTGATGACTTGTTTCGCATAAAATCAAAGGAAATTCTAATTTAAAAATGTGCTTGATGCCAACCAAATACGCTCGTACCGATCTGGGAGATATCATTTGAGAAAAACAAGAGATGAAATCGCATAAAGTATCTTTGTCTGGAACTACTGGGGTTTTAAAATGAACACAAAATTTAGTAAAAGCTCTGAAGCCGGATTTATATTTGTCAAGGGAAGTGAGATGAATAGTAGAACGCCAATGATGAATTGACAACTTTCGTAACTCTTCTAACAATATATTTGGAATAATTTTCTTTGGATTCTTCAATACCAACTTGGACAACTTGGATCTTCCCATATTCGAGAAGAATTATCGAAAACTGTTAAGTTCGACTCTTTTCCTCCAGAAGAAAGAGCAGAGTCAATAAATACACAATCAATTGTGAGAGCCCCGATCGCATGACACAAGATACTTGAATCTTCAGGAGAAAGGATCTTGATTTGACGCGAAATATAATCAGCTTCTGAATTAGAATCTCCTGAGATGTGCATAACCTTTACATCCGCCCCAGCCTCTACCAATCGTTTTACGCAATGTCGAAACAAAGGCCTGACGATCTTGCTAGGCACATGAGAGCTGAACAGGTCCACGACGTTGGTGTTATCTGAATGAACGAAGATATTCTTTGAACTGTTGTCAATTCCAATGTTGATTGCTGTGATGACACCTAACAATTCCGCCCAAAAGATATTTCTAGGGGGAGGAGGTAAGACAAAATATTTCCCGATTTTCAAACTCGGTTCCCAAATCCCAACTCCTGTCATGCAGGCATCAGTGAAGAAAACTGAATCTGTGTCTGATAAACCCCATTGAATAGATTTCAACATTCAAATTCCATTATTGTTCCTGAAAAACTCAATTAACCAACGTAAGTCGTTCTGATTTTCTTTATTTAACGGAATTTGAAGGAAACAGTGGTCTTTGTTTCCTGATTTCTCATACAAACTCTGTAAAGAAAACCTTCCCCATGGCATCAAGGTACATGCCCAGGATGCATGACCGAGGAGGGATTGCCAATCGTTTAAAGAGTGTTTTGGGCTTGAAATGAAATCTTTTAAAGTTGAAATTAAAATTGCTTTCTTGTCAGGCTGAAGGCACATGATCATTTTCTGAGAATTGACCAGGTGACCGATAATCTCCACGACCGGACCATGAAGCTGTTTCTTCCAAAGCCATGGGAATCCCAAGATATCAAATAAATTCAACAATTTAGCTTGAGGTGAAGGAATTCTATGGCCTTTGAATAAAGAGAAATTCTTTGCCGAGCATACCCCCCACATGTCATCCATCATGTTATTCATGTACTTGATGCCAAAAATGAACTCAGCAATCTAAAGAACCAAAGAAAATACCCCACACCAGATATGAGGCGAAGCTGAATGTCCGAATGTTAAATCATAATCTACTCTTTTCTTATTACCTTTGATTCTAATGATCTGTCACATTTCATATTGAATATGTAAAGGAATTGCACGAAAAGCAGCTTCAATGTCGGATTTGAAAATTACAACTTCACCAAACTGTTTCTTCATTTCTATTAAAAAAGGAATCCATGTTTTCAAATTATCAAATGCTACTGGGATGTCTTCTTTTTTTGACGAGATCATTTGGGGAAGGGCGGCCTGCGCTCATATTCAAACAGACACACATCTTGTTTGAATTCTTCTTTGAGACCATGAGTAATGGAATTACCTTCATACCTTCTAATAAAGTCGTAAATTCTTTTGAGAATCTTCCTTTATCAATTTCTTCCTGACATTGGTACTCTAATAAAGCTTGATTTTCAGATAAAGAAATTTGATTTGGACCATCAATAATATCAGCATTGGGTAAAGAGGATCTCGGCCAAAAGCCTTTTCGAAGACCTTTCAACACAGAGTCCACAAACGGGAGATTCGGATGTGTAGATAACAATGTTTCGAACTTATCCACATTGATTGGAGTCACGATTTTGAACAAATCTGGGTATTTTTCTATGGCAAAGGCGGCGTGAATGTCCTCAGATAACGGAGGGGCATCGGGAAAAGGAAGAGCGTAGATGCTTGACTTGATTGCCGGAGAATAATCCATGGGGTTAACACCATCCCACGTGTAACCTCGGAGGAACTGTTGAGAGACGTTGTCGGGATCTGACAACAGAGAATTGGAGGGAGGATCTGGTTCCAAAGGCCATCTGACAAAAAGGACTCAAAAAAAATCAGGATCTTTGAAAACTCTGAGTACATACTGCTAGTCAGACAAATTGAATCAGAAAATACAACCCCGTCAATGGGATCGTAATCACGGATTCCTATGAATCAACTTACCAACAAAGTCAGGCCTGGATGGGAGTATCAAGTGTGGTAAAAGGCTCCTAATGACATCTCTAGTGACATCAATTCCTTCAACATCCCGCCGGAAGGGTATTCTTGTCAAGCTAATGCTGTTGGAGTGAAGCACATCATTCCTAAAACTTATTGACAAGCGCTGACGGGACCAGACAAATCTGATTGGCACAAGGCTATCGCGGCTGAACTGAACAACATGGACACACAAAAGGTTTGGGATGTTGTAATTTTACCAGCTGGACAATGAGCTATTGGGACTACTTGGGTCTTTAAAAAGAAAATGGGTGGGGACGGCAAACTTCTAAAGTACAAGGCTTGTCTCTGTGCTCAGGGCTTTTCACAAGAATTTGGCAAAGAATACAATGATGTGAAGTTGTGAAAAACTCTTGAATACGTGGCTTTGCCGTTATGATTGATTAAACCTGGGGTAATCAGGTTAGAAGTAAGTGGAACGGCAAACAGGCCTCTGCTTCAAAGAGCTATACGAAAACAAACCTGTGCAGGAGCAACAGGGATTTCCAAATAAGACAGTCAAGTGCAAAAAGGTAAGTAAAGAGAAATAATCAAAATAAGATTCTTTTCGATCATAGTTTGCATACCTGGGGTAATCAGGTTAGAAGTAAGTGGAATGGCAAACAGGCCTCTGCTTCAAAGAGCTATACAAAAACAAACCTAACACACGCACACAAGTGTTAGTGAGAAGGTAGAAAAACTGAAACAAAAAGATAACAATCAAACCTGTGCAGGAGCAACAGGGATCACAAAATAAGACAGTCAAGTGTGAAAAGGTAAGTAAAGAGATATAATCAAAATACTAAAACAAAGCAGGTGTAACCATAGTTAGAATAATGTGTAGAGTAATGAAATTATGAAATGAAACACTTACAGATTCTTTTTGATGAGGAAAAGAATCTGAGTGAAGACTAACAGCGGCTATAAATATTGAAAATAATACAAACGGAAAAGCGGACACATTCCAAATAAAGATTAGTGAGAACCTCAAGTCACATACAACTCATTCCCAAAAGATACTCAATAACACC